AATGATTTCTGAAGGATCATGTGACACTGAAGACTAAAGTAATGACTGCTGAAATTTCAGCTGTCACAGGAATAAGCTACATTAAAATATAAACAGTTATTTTAAATTGTAGCAATCGCAATATTGCTGTAACACGGTTTCCGATCAAATAAACTCTTGGCAAGCATGAGACTTAACCAAACCCAAATTTTGGAACTTGTAGTTCAAAGTGCACATGTTGCTCAGACTAACAGGCGTTTTCATGGTCAATTCCAAAGGTGTCCTAAGATGGACGGAATGGTTTTAAAGGGCAGCTTTAAAACAGGACAAAACCTCACCTGAGCACAGCGGCCAACACCACCATTGTAACGTCGGAAGGGAACACACTGGTGCTTCACCATAACATCCTTCAGGTACTTGTTAGCCTTGCGGATGTGCATGCCTTTGATGGCCTGGGCGGTCTCACGGGTGTTCTGAGGACCAAACATTAAGACAACAGGTAACTAAGTAAACCAGCCTACATCACTTTACAAACTAGAAACATGGCTACTCAGAAAATACTGGAGCACTCTGTGTTCCAGACGCATCAGTGAACGGCAGCGTCTTGACAAGCACTCAGACTGTAGCATGAACGGCTTCATTCGTACCTTGAAGTGAACACGAAGGTTGGAGCCCCTCGACTTGCATGCTGCAGAACACAAAACAATTACTACACAGGTTCAACACCGAGCAACCATACAGTTAAAAGTAGCTGCCAACTCACATTTAGTCGGGTTCTCTGGGTCGAGTGAGTAGCGGACCATTTTCAGAGATCTAAAGAGAATGACATTAACGTTAGATGCTTGGAAAATGCGCAGGAGACACCAAACCAAACTAAAAAAAAACTGTTCAGAAAAATAAAATATTCGGACACTACCGCGAATACTACGCGTACCGCATAAACCATACATTTACACATACATTGTAGCCAGACATGTCACAGTTTCTAATGTCTTCAGAATCCGGAGTTCTATTTTTCATTAGTCAACTCGACATTCATCTAAAGACGAGTCACTGTGCATTGCCGACACTAGAAAATGGCAGAGCACAGGCGACCATCT